GACGTTGTAAAACAAGCCAATTCACTTCGTGAACTCGGCAACCAGGTTGCCGTTGTTTTTTTTACCTCTGTTTTTTTTTTGGCGGTAACCATGAATGGTGGTCGAGTAGATCATGTTGTGCGGGGTGGATAATCCTCACGCCGCGCAAGGGGGATGATCGCACCACGTTGTGTTAAAATGGGAAGTACCCCAGGTACACAGTGCTTATAACAATCTGTCGAAGTGAAAGCACCAGAAAAACGCAGCTGTCATCCATACGCAAGGAAGTAAGCACAAGATGCCGAACACCCTTAGCAGGATGCAGCGCACCCTTCATGCGACTCGCCGAATACCTCACGGCGTTTCGCGCTTGGTGATGTGAGAGCCTGGTCCGGTGAGAACCCGGCGTGCTCCGTCCCGGCTTGTAGGGATGCGAGGTCAATGGTCTAACGACACGGCATGCACGACTATGAGTACACCCTCCCCCCCCTGCCATCCTCCGCTACCCCAATGCCTGATGTGTATGTTTGACGCACACACACCGATTACGGCGGCGATTCGTTCAGGACAACACGGCGTCGGTTTGGATTGCGTTGGCCTTCGCCCTGCAGCTGCTGCTGCTGTTTCTCCCCGCGTCGCTGAAGGAGTGTGCCTTGCTGAGGGGCTTCGTGGTGAGAAAACAGGGCTCGGGTAGGAGGGGGGAGGATCAGAGTTCATTCACCGGGGCGTCTTGCAGAATGCTAGTACTCGCCGTAAATACTCGAAAGACGACACACAGCAAGTGTTTGTCTGAAAAAGGAGAACACCTAGCGCCAGCCCAAGCCCAGCCCCAGCCGTGACTCGACCTTAACGGCCAGACCGAGGGACGAAGGTGAATAGCGACCTCTCACCGCCTCACCGGGTGTCGTTGTTCTTTTACAAGAACAAAAACGGGAGGGTGTGACTAACTATTGCTTTTGCCGACGAGACTCTTGTCCGACGAGAAGACGGCTGCAAGATGCTCCCTCTTCCCGGAAAGAGGATGCGGGGTTGGAGGGAAGCGAGGGGGGGGGATGAGCAGCTACCGTACAGTTGTGCAAGAGCACGTCCTGCTAGCAACTCGCATTCTTTCATCTCACGATTCCTCGGTGCGACAACCCTAGTTGTCTTGTTTGATCGAGCATGCGTTCACCACGCGCTCTTGCACAGAGCGCTACCGCTTGGTTCTACCTCACTCATCATCACGGAGCCTCAGCGAGACCCCTCCGTGATGGTCTTGCCCCCTCTCGCTGTAGTCCTGCCGGGGCAGTGACTGTCTTCTGTTGGTCTTCTGTTGGTACCAGACACTATAATAGCTGCCTTGTCGCAGGGTTTCTCTTCATTCTCTGGCGATTCGATTCGATTGTCTCTTCTCGTAGTCCTGGTGTTCGGTGCTTCTCCGTGCCCGGCCTGCCTGCCTGCCTGCCTGCCTGCTTGCCACAAACGTGCGACTCGCGTTCCAACCCCCCGCGATCCGCGCTCCCGCTCTCGCCGTCGCGCGCTCAGGTGCGGTTCGTTCACTTCGAGTCTCAAGTCCCGCGGCTCGGCCGAAGCAGCAAGAGCGACGCAAACGGACGGGAAGAAGAAAAAAAGCAGGGGACAGGAGGAGGAGGAGGA